GAGCAGATGCGGGGCGGGTGTCCCGGGGGTCTCAGGCCTCTGGCAGCACCCTGAGCTGGGCAGGGATGCCTGCGCCTCTGCTGCTTCCCCGCTGCTCTCCGGAGTCAGAGCAGGACACGCGATGGGTTCCTTCCTGGGATTCCTGCGAGCGTGWCCTTGTAGGAGAGAGCTCGGGGAGCAGCTGCCAGTGACCCAGAAAGGAACGCTGGGATGACCTTTCCTTTTCTGGCCCAGTCTGTTCCCAGTCCTCCAAAGAAGGAAGGCCAGTGGGGTCACTGGTTTGGGGGTGGGAGGAGGCCAGCCCCCCATCCTGATCCAGGGTTGATGGCAGAGGTTGTGCAGAGGAGCCCAGGCTGTCTCACCTGCTAGAAGACATTAATTACTGCTGGAAAAATTATCTCCTACAAGTACACCTGTACCAGCATGGGATTAATTGCATCGGCCTCAGCCCAAATGCTGCCAGCAGCACGTGCAGCTGCGTGCCTGCACCCCGTGGTGCCCTTTGGCATGGCCCGAGGGGTGCCACAGGAACGTGGGGCTGGGCTGGAGCTCACAGGGAGGACAGATGGGACAGGAGGTGCCTCTTCGAGACTCTCCATCAGGTGGGAAGGTGCCCTTGCATGGGTGGCATCSCTGCCTGTGCCMASAARTTGGAACTAAATGAGCTTTAAGGTCTCTTCCAACCCAACCCGTTCTGTGATTCCGTGGTGCTGCATGGGGACACACTGAGAGCAGCACTCAAACACCCAGGGATGCTGAGCCCGTGATGGGTCCAGCAGCCTAAAGAGGTAAATAAAAAGATAAATAAAGAGGTAAATAAATAGGCAAATAAAGAGATAAATAAAGAGGTAAATTAAATAAAGAGGTAAATAAAAAGATAAATAAAGAGGTAAATAAAGAGGCAAATAAAGAGGTAAATAACGAGGTAAATAAAGAGGTAAACAAAGCAGGAGAGTGTTTTCCCCAGCTCTGGTTGTGCCAGCCCACGTGCCCACAGCCGTGTCATTGTCCTTGTCTCTCCCACAGGCAGGACACCAGCGAGATGTTTGCTGTCTGCCCGGCCAACGGCTCATTCCGGCAGGGCCAGGGGGCCCCAGCGCTGGGCACGGCCATCCCAGGGGCAGGACATGGGCCAGATTCCAACTCCAACTTCGTGGGAGAGGTGTGTGACAGCAACGAGAACTGGAGCCAGCCAGCGCCGGGGTCCCCGCCGGAGGAGAGCTCCAGCCCGAGCGAAAACACCGCAAATCCGTCCGATAATCTGCTGTTATTAATGCAGAGACAGATGGTCCAGGGCCGGCTTAGGGACGCCGCCCCGGGCCTGGGCGACGTGCACCCCGAGCAGGGGGTGCGCAGCCCCCCCGAGGGAGCGGAGGTCGGCGGGGAGGGGGGAMAAAGCACTGCTGAGGAGGCGTTTGGGGGATGCACCAAAACCCCGAGCTCCCCTGCCGAGGACAACGGCTACGCCAGCAGCTCCCTGAGCATCGACAGCCCCGACAGCACCTGCAGCACCACCTGGGACCCTCCTGCCTCTGCCCCCCGAGCYGGGAGCCCCCCAGAACCACAGGCGGCCGAGCCCGAGGTGGAGACTCTCTTCCCAGAGCTGGCGGAGGCCGTGCAGCACCTCCAGGACAAGGAGCGCTTCAAGGAGCGGGAGAAGGAGAAGCACCACATCCAGCTGGTGATGTACCGGCGCCTGGCCCTGCTGCGCTGGATCCACGGCCTCCAGCAGAGAGTGGTGGACCAGCAGAACCGCTTGCAGGAGAGCTTTGACACCATCCTGGATAACCGCAAGGAGCTCATCCGCTGCATGCAGCAGGGTCCCGCCTGCCTCGCCACCGCGGCTGCCCCYGGTCCCTGAGGTGCCACTGGCACTGCCCAGCCCAGCCCACACCTTCTGGACAGTGTGGCATTAGCTGGTGGCATCTCCATCCTGTACCAAGCGCTCTCCGAGCCTTTGGGTGCCCACCCTGCCCTTCCCATCTCTCTCCAATGCACCCAAGAGTCCCCAAAGTGCTCATCTCCATGATCCCTCTGCACTGGAATTTGTTTTGTSCTGCACCCCGGTCTGGGGTGGCGCTGGGCTGGGTCGACCTCAGGACCTTGGGGTTTGCTGAGCCCAGGGTGACCAGGCTCATCTTTAAACTGAATCTAGTCCWTTGTTGAGCCTGGCTGAGCCACACCAGTGCCAGGATGGCCATGCTGGAGCCGCAGGGCAGTGAAGCTTCTAAAATTTCCCTGGGCAAAGCACTTCCAGCATGTGCTCCCCWCATCCCTAAYCCTAACCCTAACCCCGACTGGTGTGTCCCTGCAGCCACAGCCCAGCCACCAGTAAATGTTGCTTTGTGCTGAGAGTGAGATGTCCTGGGCTGTGACACAGAAAAAAAATCATTCTGGGACATGACCCCAGAATGCTGAAAACAAAATTTAAACTAAATTTATGTCAAGCGATCCAACGCCAATATATGTTTTTAATGTCAGTATTAGAGAAGGGTTAGTTTAGGTTTATGTGTGTTTGCACGTCTGTCTRTTGTAGGCGATGCTCTCACTCAGTGCATGATCCCAAAGCTGCTCATGAACTTGTGGTGTTGGTGTTTACATTATTTTATCATTTGAGMGCAAAGGATATTTTTTTCTAATGTGCATTTTAGCCAGCAAGAGCTGTACACAGAACCCAAAGGACAATTGTCTTTACTGGAGATGAAGAGGAGCTGCTGTGTGTGTTTGCTGTGCTTTGCTGTGTATCCATAGGACACGTGTTCCATKTAAATGCTGATGTGGAGGAGCAGCAGTGGGCAGTGAGGGCTGGGCCAGAGGGGTCTGCACTCCCTCCCCTGCCCCAATTGCCAAGGAAAGCCAGGCACTAATTCCATTTCTCRTCTGCAAAAGGAGGGTGATGAGGAATTCCAGAGCTGCTGTGTCCTCACAGCCAAACTGCTCTGTGCTGTCGGAGGATCCCCTTCACCAGGGCCCTGGGGAGCAGCTCAGATCCTGGCAGCCACCACCCACCAGATGGGTATGGATCAAAAACCATGGCCAAGCCCACCAGTGACCCACGGGGCAGGGGCAGCACCAACCTCCTGCCACCCCACATGGGGCACACAGGGCACTGCTCCCCCTGGGGCTGCTGCTGGCAGGGGAGCTGAGGAGATCCACAAGAATCTTCTTCCAAAAAGGACATTTTGGTGGCACGGGGTGCACTCAGCTCAAAGTCAGCACTGGAGGATTCCAGCAGCTTTCCCACAAGGCTCACAGCACCCTCACCACCCTCCTGCTCGCTCRCGTCCAGCGCCTGCTGCCTCTGTCATACCCCACACCCGTGATCGTGGGCATGTTGCACACCTTAATAAAAGCCTTGGAGCTGAAGGAGCCGAGCCCCAGTTCCTTTTATTCCTTTATTTCCCTTCCTGAGGCTGCCAGGCTGGGAGCAGCTGTCCCATTCTCACCGCAGGGGCCGGAGTTTGCACTGGCAGGGCTGTGGGGGAACGGCAGGTCGAGGGCACAGATCCTGGCACCTTCCTGCCATCCCTGCATCCCTGGGCATGCTGATCTGCTGGGCTGGCAGTGCTGGCAGTTCCTCCAGGCTCGGTTTTTAAAGGTTTTTTAAACCTTTGTGTTGCTCCTGCCGTGGGGCAGTGGGGAGTTGGTGCAGGGGTGCAGTGTGAGCGCAGGATTTTCTGTCTGCCCCAGGATTGCACGGCTGAAAGYGGGGGGACCGGATTGCCAGCACCCTGCCCTGCAGCCCCGCTCCTGGGGAGGGCTGGGGGCAGCTCTGGGTGATGGCCATGGCAGATAACAACACCTGAGTGTTGACCCAAAGGTGACTTGGCCTCGGGCTTCACAGAGATTAACTAGAGATGAAAAACYGAGGCTGTAGGAGCCCTTTGAACCCTCCCTCACCTTTCCTCCCCCCCTTCCTGCTTCTCCTTTGCAGCCTCTGAGTCTGTGGGAATTCAGGGATGCAATTCAGGGATCCATGTGCAGATACACCGAGGCATGAAGGGCAGAGTGGCTGCATTTTTCCATCCTTATCCATTCCCTGTAGCTGGTCTACTGGTTCCTCCTGTAGCCAGGAGGTTTTTCCAAGCCCTCAGGGGTTCCAAAGAATGTGGGGTGCTCCACTCTGAACCCATTTCTCACCTCACCCACTTTCCACAGGCTCCTGGCAGGTTTGGGGGAACATGAGCCCTCCCAGCCCTGCAGCAAAACCGAGAGATTCTCTGTTTGTCTTGGTCGAATGCTTTACACAAATAATTATTTCCAAGGTAAATATTGTGAAAATCCAGATTATTTGCTCAAGAAATGAAAGAATAACTGCGGGGGCACATCAAAGAAATGGATCTGCTYCGGCAGCAAGAGGCTTCCTCCCTGGTTATTGGGAGCCCGATGCTGCTGCCCCGGGACCTGGCTGGAGATGGCCAGAGCTGATTTGCAAAATCAACTTCAGACAGAGCTTTTCCACCCCCAGCTCCRGTGCCCAAATGGGATTTGGGAATCAATTAAAAACCCGACCCATTGCGGGAGGAAAAACAATAAAAACACTGCAGGGCTGAGCCCAGGCCAGCTTGGGGGGGTAGAGCCCCACTCTGCCCTGGCACCCACCCCCCCAGGACACCCTGACCCTACAGAACACATTCAGCCCCCTCTGGGTGCAATCTGTGTGGGATGGGTGCCACAGGCAGGCACTGGGATGGCACTGGGACAGGGATGTGCCCCAGGACCCCATGCCATGGATTCCCCCATCCTCAGGGATTACCAAACCTCTGTAAACACAGAATTCTCACCTCTCARATGGATTAACTCAGCTCTCAGGGGAGATGCTCCGGCCCCAAATCCCCCCAGGTCGGTGGGAATGCCACCAGCAGGACCTGGATCCAGTCAGGCAGAAATCTTTTTGGGGTTCCCCCCTGGCATGGGAGAATCAGAGCTGCAGACCCCACAGCATCCCAGCTTGAATTCTCGTGCCTGACCGACGGCCCCTCTGGTTTTAAGGCCTCTTCTGAAAGTTTATTGTTCCTATTTTATCAAATCCCTGTGACACTGAGCTGGTTTTACTGCRCAAAGAGAGGTTTGGCAAACGTTGCCTGGCTTTGAAAGTTAAAATAATGGCATTGAAACAAAATGAAGTATTTATGAAGCTTTGGAGGGAAATATTTTACCTTGTAATTGGAATCCACTCTAACCCTTTCCAGTATTTTATGGGCTTAAACGAAAGTCTTTAAAAATAAAATTGAATGATGAGATAACTCACGCAATGAAAATACAAAAGAAAATTAATCATTTCAGGCCATTATCCAGAGATCCAGACTGGGACACACTTAAAGCATCCTGGGATCCCTCGTTTATTGTGTCCCAGACATTTCCAGATCCCACWTGTTTGGTTTGCAATGGGAAAGGGCTTTCCTTGCTCTCAGCTGRGAGGATGAGCCCAGCCAGAGCTGCCCCCCTCACCCCAAAAGTCACATCCAGGCAGCACCCGGTGTGGTGAGGGCTCCCACCACCCTGAGCACCCCAATTTCCACCATCACCATCCCTCCCCGCTGCTCCTGGGGGCACAGAGGAGCTCAGCCCTTACAGGATCCTCATGTGCCACCGTGCTGGGAGCGCCTGGCACTGCCTGGGCAGTCTGGGAGGGTGGTGGGGAGCAGGGGGCTCTGTCCTGCTGCTCCATGGAGAAATCCTCCTGTCCATCCAGGCTCCCATTCCTTGCAGCGCTGGGCAAGTGGCACTGAGCAGAGGGAACAGGAGAATTAGAGGCAGATCCACGTGTGGCCCTGAGCCTTGGTGCATCTCTGTTTTTCCAGCAGCATCCACTGGTCCRGAACCACCATTCACAGAATTTTTCCAAGCTGTTCTCACTCTCTAATGTTTTATATTTAGTTTTAACTGCCTCACACTGGCAGGAGAAATGCAACCTGCTTGAAACAGAGAAGAGCACCCATGCTGAGAGCTCAGGGTGGCAGGATTGGTAACACCAGGATCTTGCCCTCTCCACCTGCACTTTGGAGTGTCAGGACACGTTGCAACCCTTTCTGCCCTTCCAGACCATTTCTAAAACCTGAGACTGCATTAAAATCTGATTTTGATTGCTGCAGCCAGAAACGTGCACCTGGAGCAATGCTGCCCATCCACAGCCAGAGCTGGACCACACTGGGATGTGACCCCATCCTCCCCACCCTGGCTTGGGTGGTTCATTGTCCAGGACCGGTTTTATCCTTTGCAGCGTTTTTAGGATGGGCGGGACCCCAGTGCCGGGCTCTGCCGCGGTATCTGATGGAAACGCAGTTTGAGCCTCCCTTCTTTAATGATTCCCTTTGAAATGTTGTTGCTTCCGCACATCCCCCTTCGGGGTAGAATATTAAGCAAGAGCAACTCGGCTGGAAATTCAGATTGTTTTTGTGTCTGTTTTCATTTACATTTTAATGACAGGGGAATCGCAGCAATCTGGGCTGTTTGCAGCAGGGCCAAGGAAAAAGGGGAAAAATCACCTGCCACCACCTCACCTTTGCCCTTCATAAACAGCACCAGGAGCTGGGAATCACCAACCTCTGCCATGAAAATGCTCTTTTTCCCTTTCTCCCACTTAAGCAGGTGGGATTTAAATGATAAATGGTTTCTTGGGCCCCTTACAGGGGCTTTGCATGGAGATGTGGGTGCACTGATTGTTTTGGTGCTGGAGAAGGGGTTGAAGGAGGGGTGCTGTCCATTTGGGATGGTTGGGTGCTGAGGTCAAGGATGCTGGTGCTGCTCCAGGAGTTTGCTGCACCTTCAGGAGGAGGGGAAAAGGGGTCCAGGCATCATCACCTGCCTTGGACAGAGGTGAGGCAGGATTTTCCCTGTGAATCCCAGGAACCAGCACCTCAGCGCCCAGGAACCAACTCAACCTCACCAGCAGACTCTTCAGATGAGCTATGAGGATCCAGGCCTTCCTGAGAAAACAGCTGGGAGTAAAGATCACTGGAAGAGAGGCAATAAACTCTCGGTTATTCTTCTGCCAGGGAGGCCAATCRAGCTGCAAAGAGTGCCCCAAGGCCAGCCGTACATCATTATTTCCTCGCRCGGGTCCCGTGTGATGTAGTGGCTGTCTCGCTGGAGGGAATGCCTGCCTTCCCAGTTTTTCAGCATCAGCACTGGAATATCTGGAGCCCTGGAAACATCRGGTTAAATCCCAAAAGCCCCAAGTGCTGCATTTTATTCCTCCAAAATGGATAATCCGAGTGCCGCACGCAGGGCCCGTCCATGAGTGTTGATTGAGGGCGAAAATCAAAGATTCTGCTTGAACAGCAGAAACCCCTACACAGCCCCAGGGGCTCACAGGGGGGCTGCTGGCTCCTYCTGGCCAGGATGGGGGGATTCCCTATGGGGCTGCTGTGCATTGGGATGGGGCTGGGGGCTGCCAAGGATGGGCTCTGGCTCCATGACAAAGGTGGGACTGCAGAGTTACCATTGCCAACCTCTGCAGACTGACCAGGTTCAGCCCACTGGGAAGCAGTGGCCCTCTGGCATGGCTGAACTGGCCTCCAAGCTCTCTGTGGACCACTGGAAGTGGATGAAAGTTCAGGTCAGGGTGGTGGAGTGAGGCTTCCAGCTTGTCTGTTCTTAGCTCAAAACTGAAGTGCCTGGCTTGGCTGCATTCACAGACTCTATCTGTGTTTTCCATCTTGGAATCTCTATTTTCCTCTGTCCTGGCTTAATTTCTCTGCTCTGGACTGGGCTGGAGGGAGAAGGCAGCTTCCAGTTCCCAGTCACGGATGGAAGCTGCATTTCACACCAGAGCAAAACAACAAAGAAACGCATTTGGGTTTTTTTGAGCCCATCGAGAGCTCATCTCATTTTGTTTTCCCTTCCCAAAGTCTCCTTCCCCCACGGCTCCAGCCCTGCCCTGCGAGTGGCACCATCTGTATCTTCACGTTTGAGTGCTGCTGGAGGGAGGAGCAGCACCCAGGAGCCAGGRCTGTGCCAGGACCTGAGCTCTGGATCCCATCACCACTCTGTCCCTTTCATCTCCTGAGCTGTGGCACGCTTGGTTTCTCATCCATCCAAAAAACTTCCCGGGGTGGCTGGATCCAAGCTGACTTTCTGTCTCCTTTGTTTTCTCCAGCAGGGCAAGGAGGAGGAGGATGAGGAGCCAGCACTGGTGAACCCTCTGGAACCYGGGAGAAACGGAAACTCCTTAAAAATTCATGGAAACCGAGGGACACAAAGCCGAATTAGGAGAGCCAGTAGTGCTGGGCTGAGTCTGTTCGGTGTTGATACTGTRCAGAATTAAGTCAGACTGGTCTTTCTTGTGGCTAGAGGGTAGGAAAAGGGCTCCCAGTGGAGAGGGCCCAGCCCGGCGCTGGCGATGCTGAGCGGGGATTGATAACCCGGCGCGGGGGGCCGCGGCTCCCA